GAACACGGAGAGGATGGGAGGAGGGAGGTTGGCCCGCTTCAATCGTCTCAGGAAGTGAAGACGCTGCTGAGCCTTTTTGGTGATGGAGGTGGTGTTGGTGGTCCAGGTGAGGTCGTCTGAGATGTGAATTCCTGTGCTCAGTCTGATGGTGCTGAAAATTTTGTCGCCGATACGGATGGACTGAGGCCTCTCTGACAGAAAGTCCAGGATCCAGTTACACAGAGAGGTGCTCAGTCCCAGCTCGTTCAGTTTCCTGCTGAGCCTTTGGGGGATGATGGTGTCGAATGCTGAGCTGAAGTCTATGAACAGCATTCTAACATAAGTGTCTCTCTTCTCCAGGTGAGATAGGGAGAGGTGAAGGGCAGAGGATATGGCATCTTCAGTCGACCTGTTTGATCGATATGCAAACTGTGAGTGAGACATTTTGCAATTTCATGAAAAATATTGGCTCATTTTGAATTTCATGACAGAAACACGTCTCAAAAAAGTTGGGAGGGGGGCAATAAGAGGCTGGAAAAGTTAGTGGTACAAAAACCCAACAGCTGGATATAAATATTACCAATACATAATATTTGTTTGAGTAAGTGTACACTATATCTTTAATATTAAAAGTCTTGTGTTTGAGTAAATGTACACTATATGTTTAATATTAAAAGTCTTGGCTTGGGTACGCTGTACACCTTTTGCATTTTTAATAATGAGTACAATAGTAACTTCTACATACAGTGGCACAATTTATACAGTATATATAAAGGTCTTAATATAGGACATGACCAATTATTTTGACATGGAAAGTGTACAGGGCAGTTTGTTTAGAAATTGGTAATAAACAGACTTTTTAATGTTATAGTTCTGGCTAGCAGACTGTGATACAGTTAGGGGTGATATTCTGCCCCTAAGCCTCGCGGATGCGTAGGGGCTGTACTTTACGCTGAAGGAAGAAAAATGCAAAACTGCAGAGTGCAATGTATGTAAGGCTAATGCTGAACACAATAAGATATATCAATATTTTATTGATATAAACGCTTGCTGAACCTTTTTTTATTCTTTCACGGAGGAAGTCATCAGTCCTATAAGGAACAATGCTGAGTTCTCTGGGCCCAAGTTCATGTGAGATGGAGCGACACACAGTGGAAACATACTGTGGGCAGATGAGTCCATGTTTCAGCTGGTTTTCAGGAAACAAGAACGTTAAGTTCTCCATGACAAAGACAAAGCCAGTATCTGTCATGGTATGGGGGGAGCATCAGTGACCATGGTATGGGGGGTGCATCAGTGACCATGGCACGGATAATTTGCCTATGTGTGAAGGTACCATTGATCTTAAGGTGTATATTGGGATTTCAGAAAGACATATGCTGCCATCAAGGCATATTCCTTTCCCAGGAAGTCCATGGTTATTTCAGCAAGACGATGCCAGACCTCACTATGCACATGTATGACAGTGTGGCTTCATGGACACAGAGTA